CCCCAAAACCCCAAAACCCCAAAACCCCAAAACCCCTTTAATTATCGAATATGTTGAATAATAAATACTATGGCAAACGTTGGGGAGAAAAAGGCTAAACCTCATAATTCTGGTACTTCTAAGAAGCAGAAGGAATGAAAATCCCAAAAGAAAGTCGCACCGGAAGACATCAGCCTGAGCTGTAACTATGTAGACTTACAAGTATACTGAAATGCTTTGGTCAAAGAAAATAAGGACCTCCGTGCGAGGTACGACCAGGCATTAACAAAACATCATTGAGAAATGAAGGAAGCTCTGGTCAAGGACGAGGTAAGAAGATTAGTTTCAGGAATTCATCCCTGGACAGGGATAAATTTTACTACTTTTCTTATGGAATGCCTCCTCACCATGTCTAACTGTTACTTTGCTAAATAATTGACCTATAGCAAATAAATTTCCTTGAGCAGAGGATTGTCGTTGAAAGAGAGATGTGTGAGAGAGAAATCAAGAAGAACAAAGCCGAACTAGAAGAAGAAATGGAAAAGCAGCGCATTCAGTATGAAAAGTACATGGTTGATATTCGTTATATCAATGAACAGAATAAGTTAAAATTGCTAGAGCAGATTGAAAAGCTTCAAAAGGAAGTTCAGAAATGCCAAGATATTGAATCTAGCATTGAGTCTGCTGATGACTTTGAGACAAAATAGAAGTGAGACTCAGAAGGTATTAACAAGTATTAGAAATCTTAATAAAAAGATTTCCGAGCTGAAAAACACCGATCCAGTCTTTATTTGAGTAAATTCCGAGGGAGAGGTGCAGAAACTAAAATCGCCAAAAGACAAGCTTAAGAAATACTCTAAAAGGTCCAAGTTCAGACCTGTGAAGAATAGAGCTCCTTCTTTATCCAGCACGAAGAGTATGTTCCAGTGTTCCAGCACGAAAACATTGGCTTCTACTATTGTTCAGTCTTCTAAAAGTCCAAAATTTAAAGGGAATGATTCTCAAAAATTGCAAAATATTATCAAGAAGCTCCAGAATGAATTAAAATGTAAAGATGCTGAAATTGAGAAAGAGAGGGAACTGAAGGAAAAGTTCCACACAGAGAGTAGCCACATGCAGAAAAAGATGATTGAGATTACTAAGAAGCACAAGAAGGTGATTAATGATCTGAAGCGCAAGATCAGAGATACTGAGAGGGCCAAGATTAAGCCTTCAATTTATATGAATACAAGTAAATACTCAAGGAACCGGAATACAGGAGGGTCTAATTTTACTATCTCCTCACATTCGTATAAGACCGTGAGTAATGTGTCCAATCCAGGCTTAGATATTGGAAATAACAGTGTTTCCAAAGAGCTCAATAATTCGAATGCTTGAACTACTTGTAAGGCTAAAGACTGGAGTCAAGAAAATATGGACTATGATCCTCAAACCTTGCTGGATAACAGAGATATGATTAAGCAAGTGCAGTGTTTAGGGTGCACGACCTTTTTACAAATGAAGCAGTTCTTACAACATTGTGATAGCTGTCGAAATCTTAGGAACATCCCTCGTGCTGAAAAGTATCTAATCTCAACTCCAGTTAAAGAGACTAGGGAAAAGATCGGCTTTGATAGAAATATGAAGAATAAATCGGGAAAGGACGGAGAGAATTCTGAGAATACAGCTTCCATTTTGAAGACAAGAGCTACAGGCAACAACATGGAGGAAGGAACTAATATTAATTCTAATTATTCCCCAGATATTGATGAGAAAAAGCATAATGATACGGAGTTCATCAACAGGTCAAATAGCTTAAAGACATCTGTGCAATCTTTGGAAAATATATCTCATTTGTTGGGAAGAGTACAGGAAAAGAAGTTATTCACACAAATTAATCTCCAACAGACGCCCAGGATTGCTGTAGATCCAAGGAATCCTAAGATATTTGAACTAGATGATGAAGATATGGTAGTTCGTGCTGATAGTTTCATGACGAATGAGGAAATCCAGATGAACACAAAGAGTTCAAGGAAGGACAGTCATAGTTCCAAGTTCTCCAATAATCGTTTTATCACCGAGTCTCCAGACCTCAGCAAGAGCAAGCTGGCTAAGAATTACTTTACAGCTTCAGATAGGAACTTGTTGTATCCTCAGACCCAACCCTTGGGAGATAAGGAAGATGACGAAATCGTGGTTGGGTTCAGAGACAGTCAAGAATCAGACTCTTTCTAATTTTTCATAAGATTCTTTTAAATTCTTTCCTTTAGGCCCGGTGAAACTATATTGAGAAATATTGGTTCTAACAAAAGATTTTTATTTTAGCAATAAAAATAAAAATTTGTTTTGAAGAATTCAACATAAAATGGTGAAGGAGGGGTTTTGGGGTTTTGGGGTTTTGGGG